ATGAGCATATTAGCTGCTCTTGTTTGCCTCTTGGTCAGCTCGGACTGCTGCTTTATCTATTGTGTATCTACATCTCAGAACTGACCAACATAAATCCAGGTTAGCAGTTGAGAGGATTGGCAAATTTATTTATAAGTGGTCACAAAAAAAAAAAAAAAAAAAAAAAAAGATCTAAAGGATAGAACACCAATCCTACAAGGACAGGCTGAAAGAGCTGGGATTGTTCTCTTCTCTAGGCTGGGGAGCTTGGAGAAGAGAAGGCTCCAGGGAGACGTGAGAGCAGTCTTCAGTATGTGAAGCAAGGCTGTAAGAAGGAAGGGTTACAGATTCTTTAGCAGGGCCTACTATGATAGGGCAAGGGGAAATGGCGTCAAACTAAAAGAAGGGAGATTTAGACTGGATATAAGGAAGAATGTTTTACAGTAAGGGTAGTGAGGCACTGGGACAGGTTTTCCAGAGGGACAGTAGATGCCTTATCCTTGGTGACCTTCAAGGTCAGGCTGCAGGGGGCTCCAAGCAACCCAATCTAGTTGTAGATGTCCCTGTTCATTGCAGGGGAGTTGGACGTGATTACCTTTGAGGATCCCTTCCAACTCAAGTGATGTATGATTCTAAGTGTGTTTACTTAACTACTACAAAACATGTATTTTCTAGCAGCCTGTCAAAGCTGACTTGAGGCTACAGTGTGTTACTGTGTAAACCTTTAAGCCTGTTGTCTCATCCCACTCAGTAGGACTCTATCTCTTATGTTGTGCCTCCCCAGGTCAGCAAGGGGATACTACTGTGGGTAACTCTGCCAGCAGAATGGAAATACTAGATGTTAGCTTTTTTGCTGGAGAATATTAGTTATAAAGGAAATACCTTATCTTAAAATATAGGTGAAATAGGAAGTAAAAGTAGATATAAATACCCAAACTTCATTCATGTTTAATAGTTATCTGTGTCCAACAAAGCCAGTGGGATGCTAAGAGAGCATGGATATAGGTTTACAATCACAGGTCTTGGGCTTTCTATGAGTATAGCTGAGTACATCTCTGAAGAATTTTGTGGCATTGGTACGTGAGTCCTCTTGTCCTTGTAGCTGATTGCACTGAGCTTGCAAATTTATTAATATGTAGCAATCCACTGTAAAGCTAATGAAATTCTCTTATGCTTGAGCAGCTGAAGGAGGATCCTCTGTATCTTTCTGTAGTAATTTTGTCAATCAATAGCAGTATACAAACAAGGAATGCAATTAAAGTTGATACAGAAGACAGTTCTAGCAACAGCCAAAGAGCCATTTACAGGGTGGATATGCTCCAACTGTTCTGCTTCTAGTTGTAACTAGAAGGGAGGTAAATTTTCCTAAAGCAAAATCTTCAATAATAATTCTTCACTCTTCCATACCCAGGTGTGTTATAAAAGTAAAACAATAATATTTGGTGCTACATAAATACCAGGTATAGAATTAAAAACAAGCATATGTATAAAGCTTTGCAATGGGCTAATTAAATAGAAACTAAAATCAGAAAAAATATATAAATTGGAAATTTCTAAGAAGTAAAACTCACGTATGGTTTGGATCTTCTTATATAATCTTCTTTAATGAGGAAAATTTAAACTGTGTTAGCTGTAACTGTCAGTATACATATAATTTTCAGATATATATATATTTGAAAAGTATACCCTGTGTTTTGAAAGACCTGATCTTGATGATATTAAGCTTTAATAATGAAGAACCTTATTAATTTTCACCATTACTCCTTCTGTGGTTACATGGAAGGAACTCAAATGGAAAATGGGATCCTACTTAATAGGTAATTTCTTGCAACTACCGAAGCAGCTTCCACAACAAGTTGCTTTGGAAGAGCAGGGTTTCTCAAAGGGCATATTGTATTCAATATTTTGGGGATGGGCTTGAATAGATTTTCTGTGCTGCTATTGTATAACATGTCTCAGGACTGAAGAGTGTTAATCAGTGCTGAGAAAACTTGCAAAATCTGTTTTATTATGTGTGGAGTTGGCACTGATGCGTGTAATTACAGTAGTCCAACACTTTCCACTATAATTCTGTTTTTAGTTGTTTGTAACTAGGAATGTTTTGTGCTGAAACTTTCCATGCTGGATGTCTGCTCCAGGCTGATTGTTATTTTACATTTTAGAACAAGTATTTCAGGTGCTTCTTAAGCTTGAAATTAAGGAAAAATATACAGTTCAGCAGGAGATGTGGGCCCAGTGTAAACAGATTGATGAAATGCAAGCCAAACAATTATATCATGTAGCAAGGGACTGTGTACCAGATGTAATGACACTAATGGAGGCAAAGGGAGGCTAATGTCTTACTAACAAATCCAGATGTCTTTCATGAAAGTGTAAGCTATTTATTTATTTATCTTCCCACCAGATACTCTAATGCTTCCATCTGCTGGAGCTCATTTGAAATATTACACTAAGTAGTCTTAGGAAAAATTTGGCCATTCCATTCAAAATTTCTGAAGAAATCTCTATTTGTGTAAGGTCAAATTAAATGTGTTAGATGCTAGAGTCTTTTATTTTTTATTTCCTTATTTCCATATTTATTCATTTATTTAAATGATTAATACGTTAAGAAGGCATTCCAATTTAAAACCACAGTGTCTAGAAAAGTTGGGTATTTCAACTGTTGTTGCTTTTCAGTCTCCATGCAAGAACTGACAAAAAGAATTATTCTGTTGTGTGTTCAATGTTACTATTATTGACTTGCTTCCCACTCTTCCCTTTTCCTGACGGAGTGTAAGCATGTAAATAGTTTGATTCAAATACACATGATCGTGGATTAGACAAAGGGGCAGTTGGAAAAGAAGGGGGTAAGGTTACTTTGAAGGCAGAGTCACTTTATTTAGCACACCCTCTCTACCAGTGCAGTAAAATAAAGTAGTTTTGCATTTGGATATAAATTCTTTTCGAGAAAGGGCCTTCACCTTCCTTCTCTGTCTCTTGCTACAAATTTAAAGAAAGCATAGGCTTGTATAAGGTGCTAAATACACTCTTATACTGTCGGTTAATCAAAACTGACTACTCCAAATGTTCTCCAAACTTCAAGTGAATGGAAACACAAGTAAGTATGTGGTTATGGTTGCAGGAAACCTTTTTGGAAGCTATTGGTACAGGTAAATTATTTTTACTTTTGGCTGACCCTTGGACAGGAATGGAAAGAAAATACCAATATCTACTGAATCAGTAATTTTATTACAAAAAAAAAAAAATTGTTCTTAATATAAAAAAAAGGAATTGACTTTGGCTGAAGTCTGTAGCAGATGATATGTACATATGCATTTGGGGAATTACTGAGCACTTCCTAGACTGTTTTGCTTTCTGTCTTTATTACATTTCGTTTACTGAAGAACATGTTCTCCTCTATCACTGAATTCATATTTTCAACATTTTTTTTGTTGTTGCTCATGTCATGGTTTTGTTTATGCATCACTTACTGGTCTTTTTTTTCTGTAGAGAAGGAAGTGAGAGAAAAATCCACTCATTATAGAACAGAAAAGTAATTTGAATGGCATCACAAATGTAGCAGAATTAGCATGATGGCAGCCTACAGAAGGAGAATATTTATTTTGGAGTTACTCTGTTTTTTATGAATATCTGAATACCATTTCTGTTAAAGCAGATTTTTTTTTTTTTTTTAAACTATTGAATTTAATAATAATTAGAAGGACAGTGTTTCTCTTTTTAAATCTAATGATTTGGCAATGTTGTAATCTGCTAGCGCTATGAAGCAAATAACTAAGACTCTTTCCTTAGTATTTTTAAATCAGTAAAGTAGAGTCATTTGTATTGTTTCTGTATGGAAAACTTCACAGGCAAGAACCTGAGCAGTTCTGTGTACAGACTATTTACTAACATGTGGTCTTTTACTTTCCATCAAAGAAAATAATTTCATGCTTACAGACATAGCATAATGCTTTATTTTGTGTCATTATAGCAATTTTATCTTGTTTGGGTTCTTCTTGACTCTTTCATCCCATGTGAACTGATCATATTCCAAGCAGTGTAAGTCATTGTAGCTGTGGTGTGGCTGTAAGTTTTAAAACTAAAGCTGCTTCTTATATAATTAGCAATTCAGTACTTCTGACTAGTTTCCTGAAATATGTAAAAAGTAGAGGGGAGAATCTTACTGTTTGAGGCAGAGTTTCCAATTAACAAGCTTCCTTGCTCTATCCTTTTAGGAAGGGCACTAAGATTTCAAAACATTAATTGAGATCCTACTACTTTTCTGTAGTAGTGTGGCAACACCTATGTGGAATGCTACAAAGGATAAGGATCCAGAAGTTAAAAATACATATACTTATATATACTTATATGTATACTTATTTTTCTGTCCATTTTTAGATAGCTGACTGAAGCCATTAGATAGTTTTAATTCTGTATCCTGGACTGAATACAGATTTTGTGAAATATATAAACAACATGCAATTAAGTAGATTTACAGTGAGCCTCTCAGCAAATATGGTCTTGAATAGAATGTTTGACACTGAGGACTGTCAGATTTCATTGGTGTTCACTTGGATTAGAGAATCTTTGGAGTTGTCTGTTGAGATTTGTTTTCTGAGTGAGACATTAACTGTTTTTCCAGAGCTGCCTTTGTCCATGAATCCTTTCATAAATTGGAAAGACTGTTAATTGAATGCAAAAGTTTTTAGGATGTATATATCTTGTAGCAGTTTGCTGTCTGCAAGGTCAAACTGAGTTACTCTGGGGCTTATTCAAGATTAAAAAATTGCACTATTCCCTGTAAATATATATAAACATACATATATATATTTCATTTTAATCAACTTTAGTTAGGCATTTGAAAAATTATCCTCATTTATAGAAATCTCTTTAAAGATGTGGAAGACACAGAAATATATCTAGCTATTATGAAACATTCCTAACTTCACCGCAGGCTGAATCTTTAGTCCTCTTGTACTATATTTTGGTGTATCCATAGTGTTTTACTTCTTTGAGGTGAAAATTATTTCATTGTTTTTTAGGCTTACATATTTGAGATGCATTCGAGTACCTTTTCATATAAACTGGGAGGACACACAGAATCTGTCACTAATGTGGCTTTTAGTCCCTTTTTGCCACAGGTGAGTCTTTTTTTTTTTTTTTCTTTGTAATTAAAACATGTAAAATGTTCACTCAAGTCACTACAAAAAGAAATACGTATAATTTAAAGAAGGTTTTAGTGTCTAGAATCACCTTAAAAAAAAAACAAAAACAACCTCAGATCTTACCATTCCTGAGGGATGATCATACTTACACAGCCTATGGTCCTTTCATGTCAAAGGTTAAGCATACTTTTCCAAACTTTTTGTACTGGAGTACTCAGAAGATTATTTCTGCTCCTAGATTCTTACAGACTTTCAGCAGTTTACCTCTTCCTCTTTGATCTCCCTCTGCTTCAGGTTTGAAAAAGAAATAATCATGTTTCCTTTTCTAATGCTACTTTGAGAATGAGCTCGTAATAAGATATTGTATGATGTCATCCACATAATTGTGTGAAATATGAACAAAGCTTAAGAAATAACCAAAGGTTTTATTTATATGCACACACATCTACTTTTTGTCTATTTATAACGTAGAAGCTGATGTACATGAATATTCTCACATTTCAATACGTAAAATATTTCTTCTTACTTTAAAGACAATACTTTAAACAATAACCAGATATATTAATTGATATGTCTATATATGTGCTACAGTAGAATACACAGTAGTTCTTTACTACCTCCTCAACAAGGGTTGCTACTATTCAAAAATAATTAAGGAATAAGTACAATTATTTTACATCAGAGTATTGTTTTATTTACATTTCTCATACTTCCATATATAAAAGAATGTGCTAGCATTTCTGTGACTTTAGAATTTTCTAGAAGTCTCACTCTTTGAGTACATGTTATTTGAGCTGAGAAAATGTATAATTATGATCCTGTGATGAGCACTATGTATTTCTGCTCTTTGGATTCACCACTACAGTACCGTCAGTAAAAGGGTAGAGTTTATGAAAATTTGCATCCAGATTAAGGCTAGTTTCAGAGTTTGTACTCTGCGAAATATAAAAGATGTTTTAAACTGAAGAAGTGGCTTCCTGTAGCCTTGTGGTATCCTGTAGCCTTGTGGTATCCTGATCTGAAGGTCCTGCTGTTGGAATGGATTTTTTTTTTTTGTCAGAGTAGAAACAATAAAGGCTAAGTTACAGTATAATGACTCAAGACTTTAAAATAACCAAGTTAAAATCAGTTGTTGATCAGAGGAGCAGAATCGGCAAAAGATAAAGTAAATGCTGGCTTATGGGGGGATCTAAGCCAGGCTGGTCTAACACAGAGTGCCTTGTGACACAAAACCTTTCATACTGAACTTTACAAAACATCACACAGTCAGTTTAATATCACAACTAAGAAACTAGATCTGAAGTTCAAGGACCTGAAACCCTTTTCTTGAAGAATTCCTCCCTGAGAAGTGAGAACTGTAGATTTGAACCATATTACAAATTACATATTTCCCCCATGTACAAATGGGGAAAGATTTGGAAGCTGATGTTATCAAGAACACTGTAACAAAAAGAAAGAAATGTGCAGAAATCGCACTTTTAAAAGATTACAACTAAAAAGTAGTTTCTTTTAAAAAGTAGGCTTTTAAAAGTAGGCTTTCCAATACAAGCTAGCATAAAGTTACATTTGAAGGTGCTAGGGCAAGGCAGGAAAGGAAGCTAAGAATATCAGTTAGACTGTAGAGTGGGGAAAAAAGCAAGTCACAAATGAATTAGAAAATAATAATCCTGTGCCTTGAAAGACTTTGTATTGGGCAACCAGAGTCTTCAACACTGGATGATTTTTATACCTACTACTTGTTAGGAATTTAAAATTGACTTTAGTTTTCTTTCATCTGATATTTGAATGAATATGGTTAAGAACTAGATTGTGCTCTGAATAACCCCTACACAGAGCCCCATTACGTTCGAAGGGGATCTGGTAGGGGAAAGAGTAAGGGGTTAAAAAAGGGAAATGACTGATTAGTGAAATTTGAACATTATGGCTGAGCTTTCTGGTGGAGAGATCCAGCCAAGAGTGAGGTGTATTGGCAGCAATCCAGTTCAGTGGTTACTTGCCCAGCACCTGTCCATGATGCAGTTTGTTCCAATCATTATTACAACTCTTAGTTCCATGAATGTTCTTCCAGAAATAAGGGGGAAATTTTTTTATTTTATTTTTATTTATTTATTTAAATGACATCCTGTGTCCTTTCATTATACTATGCTCTGGAATGGCTTATAAAATGTTTGCTATGAAAGCCGGTAAAGAAGAATCAGATAAAAGTATTGGCTTTATCCCAGTTTTATTTTCAAGCTGATTTCTTAGTTTTAGCCTCTCAGTGCCTCTTTCTGATTTCATTAATTGGTCAAAATTTATATAGGGAAAAGTGTTAAGCTTATTATACATATTAATTGCATTTAAATCTATTTTAAAGAATGTGCATTAAGAGATAATAATTTTAAGCTATAATAACTGTAACTATTAACTACAATACAATTGTGTGAATTGAAGTTAAAATAGAGGGGGAGTCTGCCAAATAGAGAAGCTATCAATCATCTCTTTATGAAATGTTGTTAAAGCAGAATAAAAGCAAATGAGAAGACTATTGCTGTCTGCAGGTTTTTGGTGGCTTTTGTCTAGCTGACTGTTGATTTCATCTTTGTACAACCTGGGCATACAACAGCAGAGCCCTGTGCAATTGCATTTTATTTCTCTTAGTAGAAGTAATGAAACTCCAAGCTCTGAGCCAATATACTGTGCATGCGCGCATACTTGCAGACACACAAAAATAAGCTTTTGAGAAGAAAAAATATAATCTAAAAAAACCCATAATCTACATTCAGTATTGGTCTTACTTTGAACAGAAGATTGGATTAGATGATTTACTAAAGTTCCAATGAAGCAACCATTTCAAAATAAACAGCTGTTTAAATGAATGTACTGTAAATTAATTTAGGATATTTGATAAAAAATAGCAAAAATAAAATTTGCATGTTATGAAATGTGGAAAATTGATTTCATTTTCCATTTGCCTGTAGTTTTTTTAACAAAGTAAGCATATGAGAGTTTGATGTGACCACTCGACAGGTAAACTATGAGATAAATTCAGGAAAAAAAGACCCTTTCCCCAAAACTAGACTATAAGGGTCTACATATTCACCTTCCTCTTATTAGGTTGGATGGTATTATTTTCTGAAGTCCCTACAAATTGAATTATTTGATGTTTCTCTGAAGCTGATATGCACCAGAAATCACTAAAGGCATGGCATTTTAAAATTGTCATTTAGAAAACATTATCATCTTCGATTTTTTTTTTTCCACAGAAGTTTAAATGCAAAGTAGAAGTGGTTGAATTGGAGTCTGAATAGAACAGACCACAGATTGTTTTATCAAATGCTTATTTTACACGTGTGGAAGATATTAATTCAAACCGTTAGTCTGTAGAACAATTTTTTTGTGTTAATGTATAAGTCTGATTTTGTGTTCAGTGAGTACAGCTATATTTCAAATAATGTTAGTTACAGGTATATTGTGACAAGATTATGTTAGAAACTAATGTATTATTGGGCAGCTGGAGAAGTTTAAATTAATAGCAAAGATCTGAAAGACTCTTTCACAGCTAGGTTTACTTGGAAACCATTGAAAATTTCACAGTAATTTTCTGCCCACCTGTTTGGAGAGAGACATGTAATGTTCCTAGTAATGAGATTTGCTTGTGGATCTCTTAGGCAGTAACACAGTTATTTGCTATAACCACCACTTTAGTCAGAATTGGCTACGGGTGGTTTTGGATGTGTCTGGAAAAATGAGTTATCATCTTTTACTAGCTACTAACAAAATATACTTTTCCTGGTGGTCACATCTGGAGATTTCAGTTTAGAACATTCTATATAAAAATGTCATCCTTTTGTGATTTTTAGTTCACCATTGATGGTTCATTTAATCATAATTTTTTCCCCAATGGAGGTTACTTCTGAAGTGATATGGAAAATTTTTTTCTCTGACTGAAGTTTGCTTGAGTTTTGGCTTTACTAACTTGTCTTGTGTTATACCTACATAGGGCAGATTTTTTCCAGTATGATATTCTGCCTTAGGACTCAGAACTGTCTTGTCAGAAATTAATTCATGTGGATATAAAACTTGTGACCAGCTTCACCTCTAATATGATTTAACTGAAGTCAGGAAAATGCTTTCACGTGGTTCTTTTGATGTTGGTATTTGGTCGAGTCAGTCTAAGTACTTCCTCTCATGGTCCGCAAATACGTCAAAATGGATGTTAATGAAATTTACTGGCTTTTCTTTTTTACTTTAATTTTCTGTCTGAGAGGAATAAATTGGCAGTTGACAGCTTTTCTGTTCTTTCATTCCCAGCGATCAAATTCAAAGGCTAAAAAATGCAAAGAAATTTTTAAAAATTGCTCTAGTACTTTTTTTCCTTTCTGAAATTCTCATGAAAGTTTTGAATTCTACTGAGAGACTAGATTACATAGATTTTAAAAAGATTTTTAAAGTTTTCTAGAAATATTTATTGAAAAATTATTTGGTAGAATCTTTTGTCTTCAGTACGGCCTTTGGATTGATCTTCACGATCACGAGAGAAGTAGAATAAGAAGACGGAAAAACAAGCTTGTTTGAGTGCTTAAATGGAAGCTGCAAGCATGTCAGAATGGAATGCAGCTGAGAGTTCGAATCCCAACGAGTAAGAAGGCAAAAAATGAGGCAATGAAAAATGATCGTAACATGTTTTTTCAGGGCAGACTTAACTTAAAATGTGGCAACCCTGAAGCAGATAGTGTACAGAGGATCAGTTGTGTTATTTGAATTAATAAAACCATGCACATCTAGAAAGAGTAGAAATGATTTCTAGAAGTTTGAGAAAGATGGATTCTGAGATTTAAGATGTAAGGATATTTGTGGAGAAGGTCACTTGGTAAAAATCTGAAAGTTAATTATTTTCTTTTGGATTTTAACTAACTCCAAAACAAATACATTTTTGCAAGTAGGCTACTGTTAATCTCAGAAGAGACACTGTCCTAGAATTTTAGGAAGTTTACAGATTGTCCTGAGCTGAACCAACTAGGACTATGCTATGCCTGTTACAGTTAATGTACTTATAGAATCATATTCTCTAAATGCAATAATGTCATGCTTGGAAATTATTAATAAAGGAGAAAAAGGAGATTATTTTTATTTTGGCCAGAAGGATACTGCAGATTTGTTAATCATTCTTGAATGCACAAATTCTCAAGCCTAATTATTTCTTTGTTTTTTTTCTTTTTGAGATCGTCGAGCATCCACTGTGCTGTGCACAGTTATTTTATGCTATTTTGCTTATAAGCAACCTATCTTGTGATTGTGAAATTTGTACTCATGCCCCACTGCAAATGTTAAACACAACGGCAGTTGCTTAGGCTAGTATGTTTTACTTCACGTGTTTGATGAACTGGATCTACACATGCACTGAGTCAACTGGGCCTCATGTGTTTTATTATCAAGTTTACAACTCTTTACTTACTATTTTACAGACGTGTCCTTTCTACATACTGCTTTAAGATACTGAGGAAGGAATTTCAGTGGTTAATTTTCCCTTTAAACAGTATTGTGCAGTATTGCATACTTTGTATGAGGACTGTCTGCCAAGAGCTGTACTACAGTTGATGTGTTGGGAGAAGTGATTGTTGTCCAACCAAAGAAGACAGCTGCATTTAAAAAAAAAAAAAAAAAAAAAAAAGAAAAAGAAAAAAAAGCCCAATGTTATCTCATAGGTTCTTCAGCTTTACCATCCCTGGGGTTTCTCAGTGTAGGTCTGATTCCTTACAGTGCCTAGTTTGATTCCCACCTTTTTATAATGTTTACACCTACAGATCATAGGCTTTGCCTTTATAAAAACTGCTTTGATAGAAAAACTGAGTAGAGCTTCTAGTTACACCACAATCTTTCTACAGTGTTGATTCAGTGTGTAGTGAACCCATTAGAGTGGCACAGAATGTAGTCCTACTAAGTTTATTCTATTCCAATTGTTCATAACCAGACTTTCTGTTTTCATGTTCATACAATATGTTATTACATACAGTAGGAATAATGTTACTTTTGCTGTTTCTAATAAGCAGTAGTAATGCTGTGTGCCATCTTGTGTAATGTTATTTAGCAGAAAAGTTTGTTTATACCTAAGAAATGATTTGTAAGCACATATGACAACTCTGAAGAAGGATGGTTGAATTTAAAAAAAAAAAAAAAGGAAAATAAAGCCTTATGTGAGCTAGCAAGGACAATACATTTCAGTTTAATCATGAGATACTCAAGTCATTCTAAGTACTTTGCCAGCAATCCACAGCTGTACACCACATGATTTGAGATAAATATGCTTGCACTGGTAAGCTTCTCAATTCACAGTGCATTTGTTATAAAATCTTTACTGTAGTTCTTACAAATGTAGATACTCTATTGAGTGGCATTAGTAGTCTGAATGACACTTAGGGGTGGTACCAAATGACTGGTTACTCAACTGTCTTGAGTTCTGTTTACCAAGAATCTAGACAGGGAGGGCTGAGGTCAGTTGTGGACTGGAAGGAGATAGGATTGGCTGGGAGTAGGATGGAAAGTCACTGACTTTAGTCATAGGGATAATCTGGAGAAAAGAGCTTCTAGGAGATAATCATAAAATGAAGGTAAAGGGGGAATGTTGGAGACAAACAATAAGAACTGGAGGCAAAGGACCTACGTATGATATTGGAGAGATGAAGAGAGAGCCTAGAGGGAGGGAGTGAAAGCCCTGCAGAGAGAGGTAAGAGAAAATAGCTGCAAGGATGAGAATAACGGTTTCTGCAGTTTTAGTTATGCCTTTCTGAAAAGGATAGCAGAAGTGAGATGTCTTGTGCTTGGCTTCAGAGGTAATGAGAATTTGCAGTTGATCTTAACAGTTCTGAAAATTACTGTGTTCAGTGCCTCAGAAAAAACTACCCTTTGAAGGACTTGAAGCAGAGCTGCCAAATAGAATGAACATCTCTTGCACTTCTCACACACTAGAGAACTGTCTTGCATTAACATAATACTGAATGGGATAAGCAAATGAGCTTATCTGCTTGTCATGCTCCACAAAGGAGCATGTAGAAAATTTTTGTGAGGTGGAAATCTTGTGCTTCAAATACAGTCTTCTCCTCTGTCCTGTGAAACTGAAATGAGGAAGCTTTGGCAAAAAGAAAAAGGGAAAGACCAAACTATATTTCTTATAGAAATATTAAAGTAAGAATTAGGATTTAATTATCTTACATAGCCCTCTAGAAAGCTATCTTTCAAATATTGTATTTCTTTTTCTTGCCATCTTATAAAGCTAGTCTGTATCACATGTTCTTCTTAACAAAGAGCATTCAGAGAATGCAATCTAACACTTGCTGATAATAGGAACCATTATGGGAGAGGTTTCATTTCTACTGTTTGGGGCTTTGTAGAACAGGTATAAAGTGTCTTCCTTGACTTTGATTAAAATCCAAATATTTGTACTGCAAGAAGATTATCCTTTGTTATATAGTTTTCAAGAAACTTATGGCCAAATCTATTGGCAATTATTATTTAAATGAACAGAGAATGTATAGCATGGCAGAATACAGCCATTAAAAATGTAATTAGATGTATACAAGGAAAATGAAGAATGGAATAATCTGCATTCCAAATGAGCTTTTGTAGAAAGGAACACTAAATCTTAGCTAATGTATTAAATATGAAAAGAAAAACAGACACAACTTCTGTCTCAAATTAAAATAGCAACATAAAATGATTCCAGCTGTCCAGTGAAGTATGATATAGCCACACCAAGCATTTTGGCCCAGCTTCTGGCTGTCTCAACTGTGTACAGCACAACTGGGGAAGGAGGGAAGCAGAAATTCTTTAATGTTGCCTTTTGCACTTATTTTCTTACAAACTTCCTGTTCTTTGTATAAAGAACAGAAGGCTCAGAACTACTAGGTCCTTATTCCCAGCAAGCTCTCCTTCTTGTGAAGTGATTTGGTAAATGGGAGGCTTCTGTTTTGTTTTCTTCCTTTCTGGCCTGCAGCACATGTAGGCAGGAAAGAGTAGATCCTGATAAAGGGATCGCGTAGCTCTTTCTTTTATTTCATAGAAATAATCAACAGATGGAATCACTGTTTTTCCTAGCTGCTGGGTTTCTAGAGAATGTTATTTGAGATGTCTAACAACTACAGTAAGTCATTTGTTAAAATAATGGTATTGTAATCCGAGGAGATTGGTTTATCTATGTTTTTCCTAATTTTGTAATGTGTCTACTTTGTCTGATATATCTTGATAGCTGAGACATCCTGTGACATCATTTTTTTTTTTATAGTACTGTAGCAGTATTCCATCTGGGGAGCTGTTTAATTATGAAAGAACTTTTCTTTAAACAAATAGATCATTTTCCTACTGTCATACAATACCATACTACGAGCCCATGTCTGGGGCTTGCCCCAGCGTTTATATCCATCATTTCTGCTCTTCTATGAACATCTGGAGAGAGTCACATTGATTTCTGCCATTGTCTTTTTTGTCAGAGTTACCTGATCAGGTAGCAACCTATACTGTGCACTGAAAAGAATTTAGGTTAGGTGAAAGATGTTATACATTTCCAGGTTGTCTTTTAATATCACCTCAGTAGGTGTGTTTCATCTGAAAACAAGTGAACAACTTCTTAGGTCAGATAAAGATGCTGAAGAAGGATCAGCAGAGAACGATGGCAGTACCATGAAATTCTAGCCCATTTATTTCCAGTGGCTTTCTTTATTTCTGGTTTCCAAAAGAAGGTAAACAGAAGTCTGATTCACTACCTGTTATTACTGGAAGTGGTGTGAGAGCAAGAGAAGATGAGTGATGAATGATTATTCATGTTCTAATACTGAATTAGTCTACATCAAATGATGATAACCTGTCACAGATTAAAAACAAATGAAGTTGATTTTCCTTAACATGTAGTTAAGCCTTGTATCTTGACATGGGATGCAGTAAATGCTGGAAGTTTATGTTGTTTTGAGGGAAGATTGGACACATCTGTGGGTAAGAAATCTGTTAAGGGTAAATTAAAACACATTAAATTATATTTAAAGCCAAATATGCCTGCGTCTGAAGTTCTACAGAAATTTTCCAGTTCTGCAGAATGTTAAGGATGGTATACTTAGTTTATTCTTATGTCTTGCTGTTCTTAAAAGTTCATTTTTTCTTATCTCGTGGGCATTCGCTTGGGGCCACTATAAGAGGGAGGATACTGAGCTGATCAAGTCTGACCCTGCATAGTTTTTCCCATAATTCATATGCAGTAAAAATCTGTGATCTTTCTGATTATTTGAAATGACATAAGAGGTAGAATTTCCATAAATGGACAAAACAAGATGCAGGACTTCACATATTTTCTCCAGCCCAAAGACAGAGAGGCCTCTCTATTTGAGCTCACTAATTCTGCCTTTATTTTACAGTTACACATTAAATAAATATTTTACTGGTGATCTGAATAACGTTGTGTCAGATCTTCAGTTATGTCACAAAGAAAGCAACTGAAGCATTATACTTGTGGCTATGATCTCATCAAATAATTTCTGTACTATACATTTATCCAAGGCGCATAGTTGACATCATTATTGTAGTTACTGAGCTTTTTTGTACGGAAATGCCATGGTCTATTTTTTGCTTTCTCTTTCTTCCTTCCTTCCTATCCTCTGTATTAATAAGGCTCTGCTCCACTCTTCCAAAAATATTAACTCTTCACTGGCTTCCACTGTTAACTTTCTTTACCATCTGTTGGATAAAAGGTTCAATAATTTTATGTGATGATGCTTGTAGCAAACAGGGCCATTTAATTTCAAATTTTGTCTTACTTATTTTACAATGATTAATTTTTTTCTCCTTTTTTTTCCCCTCAATCTGAAAATATGGATTTTAACTGTGAATAATATGGATATCATCAAACTAACCTAACTATCCTACATAAGAATGGATGTTATTGCTTTGATACAGTAATATCATTAGTTTCACACCTCAGGCTTTTCCCTTTTTTTCCATTTTTTTAATATTTAGGTTGATTTAGTTGTCATCCTATTATAGATGTTACTGGTGAAATGCCATCGGGAGCAACAATAATGGGAAATTTAGGGAATTAGGAACTCTAGATATTACTATTTCGACCACTCTGTTTTACAATTTTTTTGCTGGAGCTAGCTGTCCTACTAGTAACAACCACAGACAATTGGATAACTATCACTAACAGATTTTATAGTTTTCCAGGCAAAGTGTGGAGAAAAAAAAAAAACCCTAATAAAAAGCAACTAAAATCCAGTGATTCCTGTGGTCTTAAAGATTGATTTGAAAATTGTCTCTTCACAGAGTTAAATTTTTAATTATTGCTATATTTTCTTTTTTCTTTTTTCTTTTTTTTTTTTGGAAGCAGAAATTTTCAAATCTTTTTTTAGCTTGTTGTAAATGTATGGTATATATGGTATGCTTTGAATGACTCAAACTCCCTTTTAATAAGATTTCAGTCTGCAGTTTATCAAACTGACACAAAATAACTCAATGAATGTTTCATGGAATATTTGTGGAGAAAAAAACACTAGATTTAATCATTTTAAAGTAGGCTGTCATCACCACAACCAGATAATCTACACAATTTATCTTTAGAA